TATTTGCACACTCATTGCACTTGTGAGACCTTTCAACAATACAAAACACACTTTTAATACAAAAAGGAGCAAAAAACTCTCAAAGAAAGAGAAGAATATTAGAACAGAGTTCAATGATGTAGGAAAGTACCTGGATAAAAATCCCCTTGCGCAAACATGTCAATCACATAACGACAGAACGCATATTGATCTAACAGAGCAAAAAGGAAAAAAAAGAGTGAAGAAGAAAGTAAATTTAAAATGTGGTTTACATTTAGCAGTGGAGATAAAACTTGGTAGTGCAAAGACACGTTTCAGGGACAATCTTACTTACGTGTTGTTATTTTTTTTTTTACTGGTCTTCAAGTAATTCACATGTTCAGAAAGAGCCAATTCATTGTCCAGATCTAATTCAAGTCTCCCAGCCAAGAACTACCAATGTCTCAGAGCTAGCAGCTCTTCCCTGGGGCCAGCAAGGCCCAGCACACAACCTGGGTCAGAACTGCACTGCCTTGGTTTTTAGTGTACTTCTGGACCCCAGGCACATGTACTGTACAAACTGCTGCCTGGCCACAGGTCCCAAAGACTTTTTTTTATCCTTGAAGATCCATTTCAAAAATTCACAGCCAGGCAATAGAAAAAATCAATCAAGTTTTATATTACAGTATCTTTTAAATATTGTTTTTAGAGTATCATCAATACGCACATTTAGTGAACGGGACTATAAAGAGAACTCTGTGTACTTACACTCCTGTAGCAAAGAGATTTAACACATAATTTTATCATTTCACTACACTAATCTTTACAACTATATATATATATGTATATATTAAATCTGGATATATATATTAAAACTGTGTTATTAAAAAATAAAGCTTCTGAATCTAAATGAAACACTGACTTCAGAAATGTCTATTGATTTCTCCTATACACAGGCAGAGTTGAAGACCTTAATAAAAAATTCTAACATTAAGAATGGTGAAAAAACTTATCAGTTGTAAATTATTATAAAAGGATTGCACTGATATTGGTGGGCTCTCCCACTGGCCAGAAAAAAAACACAATACTCCACTGTACTTTAAGGGACACTAGCTTTGAAAGTTAACATTGATGACTAAATGAAAATTCTGGTTAACTTAGTTCCCAACTGTCCTTGAGTTAAGCTTATTCATTCATCTGTCCTAGGCTCTTCTAGCACAGTTTGTAGGGTACAGAAGTTGCACCTCTTCCTCTCTCCACCTCCCATTCTTCTACTCACCCACAAAGCCACTTACTTTCTCTTTGCCAACTTCAAAGCAAAATTTTCCAGACCTTGAAAGACAATTTTTAAACTGTCATGACTATGATATTTAAATGCAAAATGCTGTTCCCAAGTATATAACACTCACTGTAGTATTTACTTTCTTACATTGTTCTCAGGACCATCAATATTAGTTGATACTGAGATATTCAGTGATTGCTCCTTTTTTATGTTGACTGCCACTGAGGTCCTTGGGTGGAGGACTGAGGACTGCAGCTTTCAAATCCTGATTTTCTATGCAGTTGTAGAAACTAGGAAAGGGTTTACAAGATCAGCAAATATCCAATTGTTTCTACTGGTTGATAGGAGTCCTTGAAGCTATTTCATGCTACTGAGATGGCAAGGGCAATACTGGACAGTATTGTAGAATCTGCTGCAAAACTTTCAGGATGCATGCAGAGATAAACACTGCTTTTAAAACCTTTAATGAATAGTTTCTACTTTCATATTTAGGAATTCAATTTTATCATTCTGGCTGGCTTCATCTTTGGATTCCATCCTTAAGGAATCTAAAAAATTTGGCTGCAATATCTGCCCTAAATCTATGTGCTAATTTTCTGAGAAAAGGCAGCAGTGTATGCACGAGAAAACAAGTCTGTACTCTCAGTAAGCCCAGCTAGAGCCACTGAAGTCAGCAAAGTGTTTGCACTGACATCAACACACTTGCAAATAGGGCTGCAGTGAGTAAGTCTGTATTAATAATTAAAATGGGCCAATGCCAGTTCTTTAGCCCAGAAAGCAAATGGCAGGGCACAGCTCTTGCCCACAAAGTTGAGTTTTCCTTACCCCTATTTTGCCCCAAAATACCCTTTCTTCATCCATGCTGCCCATTGGGAAGACCCCTGGACTGTTTTTGGGAACTGTATGGAAGAAAGCTGGATAACATGGGACATAAATGTGTCAGGGGACACAAGATATATGGACAGTCACAGGACAGAGCACAATCCTGCAATGGTTCTATTTAGGTTATGATCTAGACATAGCCTGATGGCCTCGCAGCTCACACCATTTCACTGATATTAAAATAATTAATTTTGTAAGCATAGTAATATAGATCAGGATTAAAATAGCCTATGAGTGTTTGTATTGGGGTTTTTTTGGTGTGTTTTGTTTTGGTTTGGTTTCGGTTTTGGCTTTTGTTTGTTTTTTTTTTAGTTTGGTTTTTAGGGTTGGGTTTCAGGGTTTTTTTACTTGTTTTAGATTTATTTTTGTGTGTGTGTGTGTAATTGTAATCTACCTGGGTATACACAAGGCATTTGACACTGTCCCACATGACATCCTGGTCTGCAAACTGAAAAGACATGAATTTGACAGATCGACCACTTGGTGGGTAAGTAATCAGCTGGTTGGCCACACCCAGAGAGTTGTGGTCAATGGCTCAACATCCAGATGGAGGCAGCTGACAAGTGGTGTCCCTCAGGGGTCAGTATTGGGAAAAGTGCTATTTAACATCTTTGTTGATGACATGGACAGTGGGATTGACTGTGTCCTCAGCAAGTTTGCTGACAATATCAAACTGTGTGGAGTAGTTGGCACCCTAGAGGGAAGGGAGGCCATCCAGAGGGACCTTGACAGGATGAAGAGGTGGGCCAATGCCAACCCCATAAAACTGAACAAGGCCAAGTGCAAGGTCATGCACCTGGGTTTGGGCAACCCCAGGCACATATACAGGCTGGGGGAAGAATGGCTGGAGAGCAGCTCTGAGTAGAAGGACTTGGGAGTGGCAGTTGACCGAGAAGCTCAACTTGAGCCACCAGTGTGTGCTGGAGCCCAGAGAGCAACTGCATCCTGGGCTGCATCAAAAGAAGTGTGGCCAGCAGGGCCAGGGAGGTGATTCTGCCCCTCTACTCTACTCTGGTGAGACCCTACCTAGAATACTGTGTACATCTCTGGAGCCCTCAACAGAGGAAAGACATGGAGCTGTTAAAGAGGGTCCAGAGAAGGGCCACCAAGATGATCAAAGGCCTGGAGCACCTCTGCTATGAAGACAGGCTGAGAGAGTTGGGGCTGTTCAGCCTGGAGAAGAGAAGGCTTCAAGGAGTCCTTACAGTGGCCTTCCAGTACCTGAAGGGGCTACAGAAAAGCTGGGGAGAAGCTTTTCACCAGAGATGGTAGTAACAGGACAAGGGGTAATGATTTTATACTGAAAGAGGGTAGATTTAGGTTAGACATCAGGAAGAAATTCTTCAATATAACGGTAGTAAGGTGCTGCAATAGGTTGCCTAGGAAGGTTGCTGAAACTCTCTCCCTGAAGGTGTTTAAGGCCAGGCTGGATGAGGGTTTGTGCAGCCTGGTCTAGTGCTGGGTGTCCCTGCTCATAGCAGGGAGGTTGGAACCTGATGATCTTTAAGGTCCCTTCCAACCTAAACTATTCTAAGATTCTATGATAATTTGAATATACTTTTTTTAAAAAAAAGTTTAATCTTGGTTGCACCTGAGAAGAAAGATTTTGTATTAAGCTTCTCATAAGATATATTTAGTAACTCAAGCCCTGAAAATTTGGATTAATAAGAAACTCCTGAAGGCACAATGGTAAACTGAATAACAATAACATTCCTACTGCATGTGAAAAAATAAGGTGCACATTAACATGCCATTGAAGTTCATGGGAATTCTGCCCATCAACAAACATTGAAATCCAAGGAATTTTTAGTGAATATGGTTTTCCACGTGTCTTTTCATGGCTAAAAATTCATGTTAATTTAAACTCTTCTGTTAAAAGATAATTTCACTCTGTAGTTTTAACGTTACAACTCTGTTACAGTGGCACAGATATTCATCTCCAGCAACTAATAAACAATGTCAAAGCTTTGACTAGATTCTTATTAATAAAAGCAATCATAGATATTTTGTCATAGGATCTCAGCTGATTTAGCCTAAGAGATGACCTATCTTCTTAAATTTTAAGGAAGTAGTACTCAACAGCAGAAACATCATAAGAACCCTTCTATGATTAAGGCTATTTTATTTTTTTGATATTGTTGCAGAAAAGCTGGCAGAATTACTCCCTTGAACACAGAAAAGTAAAGATTGTAGGATCAAGAAATCTTGGCAAACCCATATTGACTTCAAAATTATGTTCACCTTAGGTCACAGTGGGACTGAAATACCAAATTGAATTTTCTGCAAGTATCCAGCTGGGCAGCAATGGCTTATGGTGGGAAAAGGAAAGGCAGAAGTATAAAAGGCAGCTTTCACTGAAGGTGTGTAACCCTATCTCCAGTGATAAGGGCAGTTTAAGAGGCTCCTTCTTTCCTCCACTCAAGCAGCTCATTCCCAATTTAACCTGCCATGGTTCAGTACATAGTCACCAGGGTCATGCTCTAAAACAGACTTTGAAAAGGATCTGTTGATGTTTGATGTTAAGATGGATAATTTTGCTAATATTTATCAGTTACAGTAAGAGAAGAAAACTCACAATGAAATATAAAGGTAAACAAACAAATAAACCACCACCACTCAATTCCTCTCTGTAATCTTTGACCCCAACTTACTTAAAATATTTTGCTGTCAGGGAGTTAAGTGCCTCATCTGCACACTGTTGCTTTTTTGAGAGCCTTATCCTAACACTATGGAATGGATCCCACTGTGCACTGAAACTCTGTCAGAGCAAACAAAAATGCAAAAGGACTTGAACCTCCCAAGAGGAGCTCAGCAATTTGCTGAACTTTCCCCTCGGTCACTACAATCAGCATGAAAGATGTTGCTTTGATTTTATGCTTCAAAGGCTCCAGTACTTCAAGTAAACACCAAAATAATCTAGAATACAAATAAATTTTTAAAAATACTGATTTAGCACAATGTGCATGTCTGAAATGAGACTATGTCTTAAAATCTTTCAGATTTCTAGAAAAGTATAATTTAGGCAACTCCTAAGGGATCCAGAGCTGATGCCTATGAAATGCTGAGAGAATCTGCCCAGGCAGATTCAGATATCCAGGCAGGGATGACTGCTTCGATGCTCAGGCATAATGATTCATTTGTAGTTGAAAGGATCAGATAGGTGTGTCATGCAATACTGAGCTCCCTCTATTAATGTCAGAATAATCCTTTACTTGCACTATGGCAGTTTGTACAGAGAGGCAAGTCCTGCCACCTTCATTCATACAAAATTGCATCTAATGCCATGGAATAGCCACAGGGAAATCAGGGAACACATCAGTGCAACTTGGGAGTGGAGGAACCCAGGCTGGCTCTGACAAAGAGGAGCTTTTAGTTAACTTTTTTGTTGTGTGTGTGTTGATGCTTGCTGACTATTTTTTTTATTGCTTGAATTCTTCCTTTCACCAAAGTAAGGACATTACTTTCCTTTTTCGGAGAAATTTGAAAGCTGTTCACATCAAAGTGCATGAGGCAGGTATACCATTACATCATAACTGGCAACATAAAAATGCCTCATATAATCTGATGTAATAGAAATTATCACATTCCCTTTCCTCTGCTGCTACTTTTCTTACTGTTGCTGAGGACATATGCAAATATAGAAACAAAATGTAATTCCCAATAGGTCATTGGACAGTCTGCATTTTCCAAAATAATTCTACTGGCAATTCACTGCATAAGATGTTACTAAGAAAATACATGAAGACTCCAGCCTTTCTGAAAAGATATTGGTCCTTGTTAAAGAAGGATTTAAACTAAAATGAATATTTAGCCATGACGAACAGTTAGAACATTTTGATTATTTAGATTAAACATATTTTATTCTCAAAAGTCTCCTAGCAGTCTGAGATTCATCTGGAATTTATTTGTACTGCTCTTTTGTTTTTCATGGGTGGACTTAGGTCCTTGTCAGCTTTAACTTCATTCTCTCTGCTTCTTCCCTAACATCTTTTTAAGATGTTAAGATCTTCGTCTGTTTTCTCCTGGTTTTGTTTACCTTTCTTTTCCGATTTAGTTACAGTCTGAAGAGCTTTTTCCTCCTTAATTTTCAGTTTGGCCTTTATTAGCCCAACTTCTGTTGTTTTAGTCTCTGCCTGCTTGACCTTCTCAGTCATCTTTGCTTCTTCTTTTCCATCCTTCACTTCCTTTTTATGTTTTGCTTCCACTTTACCGCTCTTTACTTTCTTCTCCTCTGCAGGTAATAAAGAACGAGATGTCAGTCTAATTCTTTCCCACCAGTACCATTTATTTTTTCCTATCCTGTTACTAATGAGTTTTTCTTCATCATTAACACCTCACTCAGATCTGATCAAAGTTACAATCCCCCCCAACCAGACAGACAGCCAGAAATATAAGATGCAAACGTTTTGTCTTCAGTCCTGCACCAAGTCTTTGACCTATATGAACCATAATAGGCTAATCAATGTTGCTAAAGACAATGTGTTAAATTTGTGGTATAAACTACAGAGACAAATGTTGATCATGAAGCAAACAAATATGGAAGATACTTTCAGGATAAATCTGAGTAACTTTAGACTTCAGACATCAGAGCTAAACTCCGTTAGGAGCTGTAATAGTAGTTGACTTCAAGTGTGGCCATTTGTAAGGGTCTCTCATCTGAGACACAGGTGCTGACAAGATGTGTGCTTCTAGGTCAGTTCAGTGCATAAAACAACAGTAGTTTAAAATGCTTCTGAATAAGTTTTAAACCAATATATTTAGTCTGATGTTCACACTTCTGATTTTTTCATAGCTTAATTAAATCTCCATCCTTGAGGCAAAACTTAAATACTACAAAATCTTTGTCCTCTGAAAACTGTGGACTTCTATTTCTATTAAGTCACTGGGTTTATTTGGCTGATCTTATCAATATGTAAACTCAGTAGTTCTACCTATTCTAAACCAGAATACGTATATTTATATCATGGCAATTCCAATTTACAAACAAAGCCATAGCATGCCCTAACATTGCTGTCTAATGAAGAAACAATTTCCTTAACTAGCTATAATGAAAATGTACTTTGAGGTAAGCTTACTTTTTTTTCCAGGGAAATGGTATTCCATCCCTTTAATTGTCATCATTGAAATTTCAACAGTTTTTAAGAGATCACGCACTGAACAAACTCCTGGATATTCTAGAGATATTTTAATTCAAATTATATTTTAACTTCATTACAGTGTCATGTAGCTGCTTTTTAGATACATTATATTGTCTACTCCAATAAAATAAAGTTTATTAATTTTAATGTAAATTCTAGTAAAAATGTAATAGAATTGATTAAATAAATACCTTTGGGAGGAGGTTTCTTTTCAGTTTTTTCATGTCTTTCAGGTTTGTCTTTTTGAATTACTAGAAAGGAGTATAATTGTATATTAAGGAAAAACCTCACAAAGAATGAGAAAATATTGCTAAAACATAACAACACCCCTGGAACTTTCACATTTTGTTCTTGATTCCTGTTTTTCAATTTGAAAAATTCTTGCTTCTTTTTCTCTGGTTCAGACATTGGGTTAAAAAGCTTCAAAATATCTGTTGAGACTCACCTAACTGGAAGAAAAGGCAGTCACACAGATCTGAAGCTTCGTAGGGAATGTTTATTCTGCATATTTCAGATGGCACAAACTTGCTCTGCTCAAGCTCTGAACAGACGCAGGCTTGATCTTCTTGTGCTCCAGCCAACGGGCAGCTGTGTGGCTACATTTGTCTTAGAGAAAAAGGTTTTTCTTAGCTTGGGCTCACTGTCAGACAAACACAGCCACCAGCCTGGTGCTCACTTCAGAGCCCAGCTTGAGTGAGTTCACGTCTGCACAGGATACACTGTGTAAACACACACACTGCTATGTCCCAGAAACGCTGTCACAGTTTTATGTGGAGACTTCTATCTTTCCTCTCTTGGTTGCCATCCAGACATTTTGCCGTGAAAAAACAGCCTTGAGAATTAATTACACTTCTTTCAAGTGATAACTACATAATAGCAACATCCTGTCTAACTGAATTCCAGCCTGGAATTGCTGACTCTGTGAGCCATGCTTGATATTTAGACTTGTGGTTTTGTGTTTTGTTTTCTTTGTTGTTGTTTTTTTTTGTTTGTTTTGGGGTTTTTGTTGTTTTTGGTTTTTTGTGGGTTTTTTGGGTTTTTTTTTAAGATAGCTGTTTCTTAGATGATGTATTTACATAACATTAATAGCACTGAAGTTTTCTGGAGCCTTTGACAGGGGCTGAAAAAGTACCTTAAACCTTTATATTAAGCATATAGAAAATCTCTTGACTGTGAAGGACACTGCCACCTGATTTTCAACACACCTGTTCCCTGATGTTGGCCTGGACCTGAGCATCCTTGTTTCCTAGAGTCCGCAAGTGGCCCCTCAGCCCTGCTGGCAGCTGCTGCAGTTTCAAGCAGCCCCCAGACAAACGGGACGTGAGTCTGGGAACAGCCAGCTCAGCACACTGCAGGCAGAAAGGTGCCTGAGGAAGTGCCGAAGGCGAGGAGTGCCACAGGGACTGGCATAACATGGGAACTACCCAAGCGAGGTCAGCGTGTCTATACTTCATACTGCAAGAGCTTCAGCTTTAGAGTGACCAAATTCTTCACAAAATTTTTCAGCCACTGACTGGAGTTGTGGCTGCTGTTAAACACATTAAAGCTCGAAGTGATTATTTGGTTAGCTAGCAGAAGATAAATGGGTAAACAGGCTGGCTGCTCATTAGGAATATCTCAGTGAGTGTTGGAAGTTATTTGCTTCTCAAATATACACAGTCTCATGAGCATTTATTTTCTCTGAATTACTTCAGTGTAATTTTACTTTATAAAAAAATCTTACACTTTAAAATGTGGGAGAAAGCAGAAAAATGAGCAATTATGCCTTTTAAGTGACTTTCTAACAAAGTCTTTAAGGTCTTAAGTCTTCATTCCACTTTTTTTTTTGTTTTCCCATTTCTACTTAGAGTGAGTTTGACTTCAATAAACTCCAGTTTGTATATTTCAATCTATATTGTCTGAACAGATCCCAATTTACCCTAATTAATTAATTAGTCCCATCATCATCAGATGATTAATTAGAATGTGATAACAGACTGATATTAAGATACAGTGCACAGTATTTTTTAGTAGTTAACTGAGTAAAAGTAAGAAGAGACAAAAACTAAAACCTAACTTCATTACAGGTATACCTGGCTTGCAAAAAACAATGCATTAAAAAACCCACACACAAGAAACAAAGTAAACAAACAAACAAACAAAAAACAACCCAACATTACCACCAAAAAATCCCAGACTTCAGAGCAAAAACATTCAAATGTTAAGCAATAATAAAGGTTAGGTTTTTTAAAATGGCATAAGAGGGCAAGTTAATTGGAATTAGATTCCCCTGTCCAAGTCCTGACTAAAGGTGGAATTATGACTCAAAAGAATACTGAAAATCACCTCTCACATACAATATTTCTTCAGAGAATATATGATAATTAGTATATGTAAATCTCAACCAAGAGCACTTCTACTTTGGAGGACAGTACAAATCATGTACTGAAATGAAAATGTTATTGCAAAAAAATAAAGGCGAGAAAATTAACATATGGTTTTGGATATGATGGAAGACCCAGATGGAGAGTTAGTAAACACTGTTGCATTAGGTCTGCACCAGATAGAAAATTGATACAGAAGAGAAAGCCTTCTTTGCAGACAAATTACTGGATTTCATTGTTGAGGAAAAGACTTCAAGGAATGTAAATATAATAGTCATAGGCTTATTTCTTTAGCTGCACAAGAATGACTCCTAATTACCTCTGCGCATAAAAGCAAGAAAACTGAGCAAGAAATATATGCTGAGCGAGGCACTCAAGGGCTGACTGAGACCTGCTCAAACAGAGCAAACACAAAGGCAGAGCATGGACTAGAAGAGCTTTATATTTTAAAAATTCATCATCACAGTTTCACAAGCTATCTAAGCTCTAAAAGTAGAAAATTCTACAATGTCTAGTAATAATTTGCATTACCTTTAGCAGGTGCTTTCTTTTCATGTTTTTCTGGCTTTTCAGGTTTCTCTTTGTGAACAGCTAGAAACAATTAGTAATATTTTTGGTTATTAAAAAAGAGAAATGTGGTATTTGAAGTGAGAAAAAGAAGAAAAAAAAATAAACACAAAGGGTAATGGATTTACACTGGAGGAGGGGAGATTTAGATTAGACAGTAGGAAGAAATTCTTCACTAAGTTGCTGGTAAGACACAAGTTGAGGAGACCCAATCACGGGAAGTGTTCAAGGCCAGGTTGGGCGGGGCTTTGAGCAACCTGGTCTCTTGGAAGGTGTCCCTACCCATGCAGCAGATTGGAACTAGATGATCCTTAAGGTCCCTTCCAACCTAACCCATGAAGTAGGCACCATCTCCATGCAAAGAACCAACAAGATTAATTCAGTTGTTGCTGTCTGTTACTGATGATGCCAAAACATAATGGAGCTTTCAAAAACTCACCTACCAGCCCTGAGGCCTTTGCCATCAGGTGGGAGAAGAATGGCCTTTCTAGTACAACTGTAGTCCCATGAAAGAAGTTAGTCAAGAAGAGTCATGTTTATTTCTGTTGTTTACTGGTACATTTTATTTTGTTTATGCTGTCAACTATTGATTTATTTTGTTTAATTGGGTTTTTTGAGCTTTCTTGTTTATTACTTTATTTAATTTTTGAAGGATATTCTGAACTCAACAACTTACCGCTTTTCCAGCTATGAATGATTAAACACTATAATTAATTACAAATCTAATTGCAATGGCATTATAACTAATGCTCTTTGGGGCTTTTTGTTTGCTTTTAATTTCCACTTTACAAATTGAAATAAAGTACACTGTAGTGGCTAGATTTCTGGGTCAGGTTTCATAATACACCTGAGTTGGGTAATAGTCCGTGAATGGTGGGCAGTTTGGAATATTCTCCTGTGTGGGCTCTGTTTTGCTAATTATTGTGATATATGTTCACATGGTAACTTGTCCACAGGTGTGCAGAACTGATATTTGTATCCTGAGGTACCCTATAGGGACCAAGTGTGTGAAAACACTCAGCTGCCTATTTGTCTCCAGAATATGAGTTTATATTGAGAACACAAAATGTATGCATAAGCATTGTTATGTACTCTCCAGCCTTGTGTTGCTCTTTCAACAAAGTGGTGGAAGATAAAGCCATGCTAGATACCTATTTATTGTAAGTAACTGCTATAAAAAGTTAGTCCTGCACTACTCAATGCTTGTGCAACAGCCCTACTTGCTATTGCATTGAAAATGTCTTTCTCACATGGCCTGCCTCTTTGCCTTTGTTTACAGGTTGTCAGGTGTTTTTCTTGGATGACTGAACTCTCTTAGCAACCATACTTACTGTGAGTGTTGAAAATACTCGGAGATTACTGGGAGATTACACTACAGAGTATAAAATATATTATCTCTATTCCTCAGAAAAAAACCAGCAAATAAACATGTGAAATGAATACAAAATGCTACTCAGCCTCTATGTCGCCAAAACCTTTATATGATCCCATGATTTTTATTGATAAACTTCTGTAACTTTTGTATTCCAAGCAAGGGGATACATAAATATAAATTAAGTAGACCATTAGTTCCAGGGTACCTAAAAATGTAAAATAAGTTCTGATGTTAAATCATTACCTGGATGTCTTTCCTTTTTTTCAGGTTTTTCTTGTCTTTCCAGTTTGTCTTTCTGTGACACTAGGAAAGAAGAAATATGTTCATATATGTTAAAAAAATGTAGAAAAAAATTAAGAATAAAAAATAATTCTATAAAAGATAAACCTTAGGAGACTAAGTGGCAAGCTGGGTTATTGCTGAGCTACCCTGTGCATATCTTCATGTCATACATCCATACTACATGGCTGTATGCAGTCAACTCTGGCTAACAGGTTACTGGTTACCACTGGTTGCTAAAACATGGTAACATGCCCCAGCTGTTTACTATGGTAACAGCATTTCTTGCAATGGTCTGTCCATCCCTGAAGCAAGATTTTCAGAAAAATGTCAAGGACTGAGGCAGAGTTCACTGTAGATGCTGTGGTCTGCACTAGAAAGAGGACATCTCACCTGGGCCACCCCATTCACTGTCAGGCAGAGGCACATAAAAACCCTGGAATCAATACCAGAACATAAAAGCATCACATGCACAAATGCCAGCTGGCTTGAAATGGATAACCAGTAATGGATGTGGATAGCTAGCAATGTATACAGATAGCTAGTAATGGACACTGGCTGAGATCGGTCCCTGGCAATGATGATCCCAGAGCCATAATCAGTTGTTCAGTGTGTGCAAAGGACAAACTAACATTGTGATAGTGGAAACTGTGTTATGCTATCCACTCGTTCATACAGCTTTTTCCACTCCCTTTTCTTAGGATTTTGCACATTAATTTTCCAGACAGTGGGAAATATGCATGTGGATTTTAGAACACTTCAGAAAAATCAGCTGTGAAACTGATAGCTAGCTTTAACTAATTCCTATGGAGATTTCATCCCAGTTTAGTAAAACTCCCTTTGTCAAACATAAGAAAATAAATAAGCTCTTTGATAGTACTGTGAATTCCATATCCAACTGGAAGAAAAAGACGAAGGGTAGAAAATCTACAGGCTCTCATATTTTTAGGACTATAGTGGTTAAATACATGAGAATGAGTTCCTAACGTAGCTAACTGAGTCTCTTCTAAGTGACTGAGACACATCTAATTATTCTCTGTGTCATTAGATAACTTTCTTAAACTTCGTCACAGAAGTTCATTAGAAATTAGCATAAATTATTCACTCTCTGTTATCAAAATCTTGAAAGGGCAATGGATTTAAATTAGAAAATAAGCAGTTAAAATAGAGGGATGCAGTGAAACTCTGAAGTCTCCCAACCACACTATGATAAAAGACATGTAACAATAGCCATAGGTTTAAAATGTAATATAGTCTGAAAACAATCTTTCTTAGTACTCTGAATACCAATGATCTCTATACACAATCTTGTTTTAGTAGCAATTGTAGAAATAGTTATCTTAACAAAACTAAAGAGTACATTCACTTTACAATAAAATACAGTTAGATAGACTGAATATTAGTAGGTGTCATGACAAGTTAAGACAGTATAAAAATTCTTATTCTTCTGGCTGTCTGACCTTGGCTGGGATCATCTTTTCTGTTCTAAGAAACTTTAAAAAAACCCTTTAAATACTGTTCTCTTATGATTTAGTTGGTGAGATTCCCATGTGTTCCACAAAATAACAGAAGTCTTAATGACACATTCGTGTTTTAATATGAATTTTGTAGTCTTTGCTCTGTCATTTTTTCCAAATCTGAGAAAAAAAATTCTCTTTTTACCACCATTCCATTTTCTAGTAATAAATATTCATCCTATCAGAAATCTAAACTTATGCACCTGTCATTAATCTTTAGAGTTGGTCTTGCTAACTCAGTATATTTTGAATTATTTATATAAAATGGAAAAGTTCCAAACAGAGACCATTAGAAAGGCAAAGTCAAGCACAGATTTCAGAAAGATTCACTGGAGTTGTGACACTCATGTTCTTGCTGTGAAATGAATCAGACGTGGCTGGATGTGGGGTCTTTTATTTATTTTTTTTTTTAAAGTGATTTATTAGGAACATTGACCTATTTGCTTTTCCAGAATGGGTCTCTTCCTCCAGCCTAAGACTCCATTAATCACATTTTTGTGTAAAGGACATGTTCTCAGAAGGCTTAAAATGTTTTAACAATTAGGTATGTTCCAACAAAATTCCATTTGGCCCAAAAGTCCCTTATAAGAAGCAAACTAGGTGGTGGCTTTTGATGCCCAGAGTTAACTCGTGAGTCGTGGGTGGAGAGGAAGCAGTAACCTGATTCTAACTCCTACAGCAGGCTGGTCTGTAATTGTTGTTGGCATACACCAGCAGCAAACTAGTAAACTCTTTCTAACACCATCTCCCCAACATCTCTGAAATGAGTCTGGGCAATATTTTTTTCTAAGGCATTTATCTGAAGCAGAGTTCCTCCAGAGAGGATGCCCTCTGTATTATAATTTATATTCTGCTCAGAAATATTCCCAAAAACTAATATTTTGTGACAAATATGCTTGCATTTATTAAAGAAGAATTTTAAAAGCACTTATTTATGCTTTGGGCATTTAAAATAAGAATAATACAGTAAAAACTTATTAATTTATCTCTGACTATAATTTTAGCCTTTCTGAGGAGTCATTAATTCAAAGTGCTTTAAAAAACCTCATTCTCTTTCCAGCTGTCTTTAACAACACCTCCACCATACTTAAACATACTTATTATTTACAAGAAGGGTCTCAGAGTCAATAGGTTAGACTTTTTTGAAACGCTGGTAAAAAACCACAGAACATTACATACTGATACATACCCTTTAGGGGTTCCTTCCTCTCAGTTTTTTCTTGCTTTTCAGGTTTGTCTCTGTGAATTACTAGAATTAATAAAACAAATGCATAAAAACTAATGTCGATATATCTGTAATCTGGAGGTATTATGTACACTTATTATTTCACCAAAGTGATCAAGAAAAAACATTTGTAAAGTAAAATAATGGATTTTAGCTCAGAGTCACAGGTACTAGATGACATATGGACCTTCTTAATGCCATATTTAATTCCAAGTCCAAGAGAAATATTTTTCTTGAATAAGCCTTCAAATGTTGGAATTCATTCTTGCAGAATAAGTGATTACTCAGTAACCTTAATCTAATCTATGGGACCTCTTTATGTCCCATTACACAAGCACCTTGACTCTAAGAGTTCTGACACAGGAAATTATTTTCAGTCCTTGACAGCATTGCTTTCTATTCTTAAGAAAACCCCCGTCTACCATATTGCTTCCCATGCTCTTTTATTTTATTTATTTATTTGTTTGTTTGTTTATTTTTAGCTGTTACTTCAGCCACAGGGTGGATTAACAAAACACCTCTTTTAATCAGTGTAACTTCAGGAAGAGCAGCTGTTCACAACATAACTAACTACGCGTCTTGCTAAAAGCAGGCAAACATGAATCCTTACAGACTCCATTGCCCACCCAAATTTTAGACAATGTTTTTTCCTGTGGCTGTGTTCTACACCCCAGTTATTTAGATAGACAAAAATGTTCCTTGCCAACCTCTACCGCTAAAGGGCCAGAGGTTTGCAGTTTCAGGGAAAAAATATGTTCTTTTACAATACTCAAGTTTCTGTCAACAATAAAACCACAGAAAATACAACTGTGAATAGAAGACAAGTGTGAGCTTTATACACAAACACAGTAATGTTTATGCATATGTTCATTTTTATTTGCAGCAAATGTCATTTCACAGAAGTGCAAGCAATTTTTTGTTGATTATATATTTCCTCACTAAAAATAGGTCCATGTCTTTAAGAAAAAGAATTCCAAATATTCAGTAATTTCATTATGTCTTGCATGTGTTTGCATTATCCAAATACATTTCCAGTCATAACAGCTGAATTATTGTTGATAACAATTAGCAGTATAGTGGAAAGTGGTTGAAGGGAGATTTTTCAAAGCCTTTAAGGACTGTGGACAGCCAATTTGTACTAAAAAAAAACAAGCTGTGAAGAAGGCAGCAACATCAGCAATGTATTATTGAATGAATTACAGACTGTAACTCATTCAATTGCTTTAGGATATCTAGGAACATACCAAGGAAAAGCAGTTTCTTCTCTCCCTATACTGTATAGAACTTAGACAGAATATTTTTGCTGAAACCCTAGCATGCTTTTGCATCTCACAGTTATATTAGCAGGTGCTAGCTCTGTGCAAAACACTTCAAGCCAGCATGATTTTAGTTTTTGATGGGGTTAATAACACAGTTTTGCAACCAATAACTCCATGATGGTCAATGGCAGTGAAACATGAGCTTTCTACATCGGACAAAAGCCCTTGTAGTCCCCATGCCAAAAAATATAGCTGAACTATGCAGAACAGGCTGACAATCAGAAAGATTTTTTTTATCCAGAGGACACCTTACTTGAGCTAGGCAGATTGCTGTGTTTTTGTTTTTTTTTAAAAATATTCTAGTTTCTCTATATCATTTTCCTATTTCATGCTTTGGGAAAAAAAGAAAGAAAAAAAAAAGATGAAAGAAAGAAAGAAAGAAAGAAAGAAAGAAAGAAAGAAAGAAAGAAAGAAAGAAAGAAAGAAAGAAAGAAAGAAAGAAAGAAAGAAAGAAAGAAAGAAAGAAAGAACTAAAGAAAGAAAGAAAGAAAGAAAGAAAGAAAGAAAGAAAGAAAGAAAGAAAGAAAGAAAGAAAGAAAGAAAGAAAGAAAGAAAGAAAGAAAGAAAGAAAGAAAGAAAGAAAGAAAGAAAGAAAGAAAGAAAGAAAGAAAGAAAGAAAGAAAGAAAGAAAGAAAGAAAGAAAGAAAGAAAGAAAGAAAGAAAGAAAGAAAGAAAGAAAGAAAGAAAGAAAGAAAGAAAGAAAGAAAGAAAGAAAGAAAGAAAGAAAGAAAGAAAGAAAGAAAGAAAGAAAGAAAGAAAGAAAAAGAAAGAAAGAAAGAAAGAAAGAAAAAGAAAGAAAGAAAGAAAGAAAGAAAAAGAAAGAAAGAAAAAAAATATTCCAAGGCAGAAAGAAAGAAAGAAAGAAAGAAAGAAAGAAAGAAAGAAAGAAAGAAAGAAAGAAAGAAAGAAAGAAAGAAAGAAAGAAAGAAAGAAAGAAAGAAAGAAAGAAAGAAAGAAAGAAAG